GTGTGTGTGTGTGTGTGTGTGAGTGCGTGCGTGTTGTACACCGCATCCTCAGACCTGCGCTTACGGGGTTTCCACTCGTATCACGTGGGTCCTGTGACCGACCCAGTTCTGAGGGATCGGAGTTACTGTGTGAAAAGAGTAGGTTCGTGAACCTAGGGGAGATGGAGGGCTTAAATAAGACGCTTCGTGGCACTGTCTGTGGGCTAAATGTTTAATCTGTATGATTCGGGCTTTGGCCACCGTACGCATTCTAACATATTTAGACCGGTTGGGGGGGAACCTGATAAATAATGCGGAATGCTTCACTTGGGTTTTAATGCGATAGGTAGTGTGCATTGAACTTGTGAAAAGATCCCGAACCCACTCTGACTCAGCCAGCGCAACTGGTGTTCGTTTATGCGGATAGATAACTGCCATACCGTACGACCGCCGTAGAGTGCGTCACAAACTACCACTCCTCACACATTTTCACACAATAACACCGATCCCTTGGAAAAGGGGACGCATGATCAACGTGAGGTGACGGAAAACCCTGGAAGCACAGAACGGAGAATATGGTGTGCAACATACACCACATGCACAAAGTGATCGATCCCTCACATTTTATTATCCTCCCACCCAAAGGTTTTATCCTCGCATATAAACGGGTACGGTATGATCAGGACGTATTGAAAACAATTGTTCACTTGAAATTGTGTTCTAAATGGGAAAATCTTCCGAAAAAGATACCTAATCGGTTCGTGGACCAGGAACTGCGTAAGTCAGCCGGTCTACACTGTTTCTATAAGAATGAGAAGAATTTCCGACGACTTGTCCGTATATTGAAACAACTTTTTCCCTATATGAACGTGAATAAAGAAAACAGCAGCACAGTGTTGCACAATTTATGTCCGGGAAAATGTCGCTGTATCTCTTCAGGTACATACTACAGTCAAAGAATACTAATGAAAACTAACAATTAACATTTACCGTAGATGAGCTGTGGATATTATCTGCATCCATCTTTCTACCAAGGTAGGGCTGGAGTTACAAATAACTCTTTCTGCTTGCACAGTTTAGGCTTCCATCGTTTAATAGCAATCGTCTGTGCAAACTGGATCAACCGAGAGTTTTGCGTGATGAGAACACTTAAATGCTGTGGTCACGTTCACTTGATGCTCAGTCTCTAGCAAGGGACGAGCGATCGATGACGCTGGTGTGCGGCGTTGGGTTGACCTTTGGCCTTGATCATTCGGGTGTGATTCGTTCACCAGTTTGTTGAACCACACAGGGATGTGTTCGGCTACTCTTTGTCTAAGCTGCCGCTCGGTTTTGCCTAGACAGGTGTTCTCTCTCATCACAGGACATTTTTCAGGAAATAAATTGTGCTGCAGTGTTCTTTATTTGTCCGTGTACGTGGAAAGAAAATATGTTTACCTCGTCTACCTAAAATGTAACTAAGAAGATGATATAATCACAATTCCCTGTATTATTAATTGGTATTTTATCATCACTGAGGTTGTGTAAGTTGATCTCTGACTGTTTTGATTCGTGTTTTATGGTGAATTAGTTCATATGGATGCAACTACTTTCCGGAAATTAGGCAATCGTATTTGATCTTCTTCATACTTATTACAAAAGTTTTCCGATGCTCCTATTTCCAATCATTTTGGTATACGCGTGTGTAGTGTTTACACTTCCATAGTATCCATTGTAACTCTAAGTTATTCCCGGGACAAACTTGTTTTGTGAAACCCGGATTCACGTAATTCCGTGTGCTTTTTGTTGAAATACTCAGGAACGCTGATATCTACAGATATGCTGGGAAAACACTAGCCACAGATATATAACTTANCACGTTATTTGCTGGAGTACATTTGTTCCTGTAAGTTGGACGGATGATTCGATCCGACTGTGTGGTATTCGCCTAGCTCATTTAGAAGAAAGTTCTTTTGCACAGGTGTCCATGCGTGAGTTCCGATCCCCAACACAGTCTCCGGATCTTTCCACAACTTAAAAGACTTTTTCGGGTGGAAGATGAAGAAGTGACCGCCAGAACTGAAGAACCATCAAAGCAAAGGACCGTTTCATTTACCATACAGTCAGCAGTATTTGAAACACTGGACAGCAACATCTCCTCAGGTTTTCACGGTTCTCATGCAGATGTATCTGAAATGAAGACTTGCAACCACCACGAGTTGGGTCCCGCCAAATATCATACATGCGAGCAAGAAGAAGCACCACGATAACGGGATGTGTAGAATTCAAATATTTCGTGTTAATCTCATCAGCTGTATACATACATTCAGATCACGTTTGGTTAGAAGAGTGACAGGTTTGGGGACAGGCGAACGCACACGGGGAAGAGAAATCAATCAATACAAAGGACGAAGATCACTAAATTGGACCGAATTGGACATTGGGGCAGGGAGCGGAATCACTGCAGGGTGGGGGAGGGTTGAGTGAGGAGGACAGTGACACCTACCAGCTGGCAGTGCGAGGCTAGCGACAAATTCGGTCTGTTTACAAATATCGGGCTTGTAACGTAGAATAGCAGCCGCTTAAGCGAACCGTAATAGACGGCTGGCGGATCAAGACACGAAAGGCGTCCCTAGGTTTGTCACATTCCTTGCAATCACTATATGTTGGGCGATTGAACTGGACGGAAGTTTAGACACGTTAGACGCCAAACTTTTCGCTTCATGCTCTGCTATTCTGGTAGGCAATCGTCTCTCAGTTCTTCCGACGTACTTGCTACCGCAAGTACATTGAAATAGGTAAACACAGGAGGAGGTAACTGAAGAATCGGGCTTGTCTAGATTTGATTTAATGAGCAATTACTTCGTTTCGTGGAATATAACGAGGGAGGTGGCGTTATATGTTCTCTCAAACACATCCTGTGAGTATGATGCTTCTTCTTGCTCTCATTAAATTGTTAAAGGGAACTGGTTGCATGAAATGTCATACACTCCGTAATGGTTTGCTTTGTTATCAAAATCAAGCTTTTGTAATTGCAAAGTGAAACGCCATTTCCCTTGATAATACATTGACCATGGTCTCCCGGATACCATTCTCTTAAATTTTCTCATCATCAACTGATTTTTCGTCCTTTCTTCCTCTTCTTTTTCCCAGTGTTCGAACGGTATCCGATTCACGAACCGAAGTCAAGCCTCAAATGATGGAAGTCACATATCCACTCTCCACGGAACGTGAGATCAGTCAAATAGAGGAATTGGTCACAAGCTTCGCCGAGCCCGCTCCTCGAACCTATCGAGTTCTGACTGAGGGGAAAGCCCAGTTCGTTGAAGCTGAACATGCAATTCCTGATCATGAACTACACCCAATTCCGATTCCCAGCAAACGTGCTCAGTCACAACCAGCCAAAAGTTCAAAAGCAGAAAAGAAGGATCTCATGACACAAATCAATACCCCGTACATACCGACATTAGTTCACTGTCCCAAATGTGATTTGGAATATGAAGTAGATCTTTACCGGAGCCCAAATGATGTCATGGCGCAAGCGATTGAGCCGATTTACTATCAGACCAGGCCTGGAAGCACGATTGGCTATTCCCCACGCTTTGCGCATACCAAGCAACAAAATGGTACCGGTAGACTGGTAAGTGAGGATTTGTCTACCAGTACTGCTAACGTCCGACCGGCTGATTCAATGCCTGCTCTGAGTACAGCACAAGAAATACCGAAGTATATTACAGCCGACAGTTCCGTGTCCAGCCGTTCTCGCGCAGCTGAATCCGGGTTTAAATTACGCAAACGATTGGGTCGCTGGAATAAACACCGTCCGCATAGCTTCTCGACAGTGACTGGTGGTGGCATAACAACACCAGGATTGACAGACACTACTGGAAGCTCCGGTATTGACAGTCTTCCAGCAACCCCAACGCTAGAAGAAAGTGCTAAAAGGTCAAGGCACGGGCGTGTGAAGAAATCAGCGGACAAAAGTCGACCAAAAACTGGAGGTATATCCATTTTTCGATGGGGACGGAAAAGGAAGGCCACACCGGAGTCAATATCTCCGGGAACAGAGAGTGTTGGTACTGAACCGGGACCATCGGAGGTCTGTTCACCTCTGATGACCGACCGACACTCGGCGTTGCATGTCCAAACCGAGCTCAGTCAGCCCGACTCGAATGCCACATTGACCGATCAGGAAACCCCACAAGCTGCTCTGGCCACGCCGATAATTCGTTCTCGGAGCTGGATTCAGCATGGTACCCCGTGGGGTTATGGCCCACCGTTGCATGAACATTGGCATCCATCCACTGAGTATGTGATTACTCAGGAACGGCCACGTGTACAGTACGCGCAAAGTCATAGTGAACGCCTTAGAAATAAGGCAGCAAGACCGCGAATAGGCAGTGGAGGATACTTTGCTTCAGTTGATTCCGATCATTCTTTGTCCGTGGACTACAGTCCCACGCATCAGCTGATGGACTCTGGAATCCAAACAGACACTGATTTGACTGCTGGAATGGCAGACGTGAAACCGAAACGGGAGACAAAACAGACACAAGTTGGAGAAAACAAACGTAGCCAAGAGTTGTGCGCCAAGTGTCAAGTGCAGACAAAATTGTATCCACCAATTCATCAGGCTGTTCAATGCGGTGTTTGTGCAACGCAACTCACACAAATTGGTGTCGGGGTGGACAATGAATTGACGAAAATTCGACAATCATCGGTCAGCTGTCAGGTGGGGATTGATGTTTCACCCAAACCGGATCGAGTTCAAGTTTGGGATGTTAGTTGTCAGATAGGGATGTTGAAACGAAATCAGGGAACCGATATGGATCAGTTTAAATTGCAATCGAATTACCCAGTGGAGAAAGAAAACCTAGAAACAAACGCGGTAGCCACGCAAACAATACCGGATGCAAAATCCTGTCTTGTTGAAAGCTTCGGTTACCGAAAACAACCTCGAATGTTGTACTCAACGTCTTGTCAAGTAGGACAGATTGTTCGAACTATTGCTTCCGGTCCGGAACATTTAGAAGCTGTACAACTTTTGGATGAGAGCATAGAACGGTATGCCACAGAGACTGACAACCCATCACCGAGACAGGCCTGTACAATGGTTGGAAAAAAACTCCAGGTTGGTAAACCATGGTCAGATGACTTGAGACCTGTGGTGCAACAAAGTTCAGCACTGAGCAACGAAGTGGTGTGCACAGCTGATCGCTCACAAGGTTCGCCGAAACCGCCGCCCAAGGTTAGCTACACAGAATGTGAAGTACAAACAAACATCACTGGCGAAGTAATTCCATACAAAAGACCAAACTGTGAACGATGTATTCAAACTGACTGCCAGTTGGATCATGATCAGCAAGAGTCCAAATCACACGTTCCGGCCTTGGTGTCAGGGTTAACAAAGGAGACCAATCAGACTGTTATGTGTGCCGATTCCACGTGGCGTATTTTGCGCGGGCCTGCAATGTCTGATGTAAGCACCATGGTTGGACGCCAAACGACAGTCAGTCAGCAACAGACTGAGCTTAATGCGCAGGAGGTCGAAACGGCTCTGCGTCAAATGGAACGCGCATCAAAGTCGGTGATCACACACGCGATGGTCGCGTATTCCAATCAGAGTGAACAANNNTTCTTACTACTTCTGAGCATCCGAAACAAAAACAGGCGGAACAAAAGTTGCACGTACTGGATGACAAGGTGGAATCTCGTCCAGCTGTGTGTACACGTGCCAAGCGTATCCAGAAAGGATCGCCTATGTTGCATTCAACGAGCTCTGATAAGCAGCTGCAAGTGACTTGTCCCAAAGTTGAAGAGGAAAAGAGAAAAGATCTTCGAAGTGGAAGGCCACTTAGATCCCAAAGACGATGTTATCAGCGCGTAGTGGTCAACGTCGGACTTTACGATACTTCCAGTAGTAATAGTGGTGGTGGTGGTGGGGGTCTGACGCGCAAGTCATTGTTTGATTACAAATACCCAGACCAAACAACCGGAAGTTCCATGTCTGATACAGAGGATGTCATAGAGACGACCGCCAGACCGGTTCGTATTTCTCAAAGTTCCCATGGACGATGTATCAGCGTCCCGTCCAAGTCGGTGAGTATGTGCTTCCATTTTGACCGTCAACCGGAATGCTGTGAGAACAAGCATCAGGGAACAAAACTTTATCAGAAACACAAACGCCACAACAATGAAGCTAGTGATCCGCATGGTCAGCGAAGTTGGTCATTTGACGACCTGCGAACTTGTGGTTCCAATTGGGAGAAAACAACAACTGTTGAAGAAAATGATACACACTATGTGTGGACAGAGAGTTCCGACCGAGGTGGAATTCAACTAGGTAACTGTCCGGGAATCGAACGCAGTGCCAGTGGAGCACGTAGACGAATCGATCAACTGAGAAATCGTCACGAAAACTATCCGTACCATTATTGAATACTGTCGACGTGAAGTAACATTTTATCCAACCCTATGTGCAGTTGTGAACCAGTCATTTCGATCATGTCCAGGGGGCAAAACATTAGGGGAGCTTCATTTTGGCTCTATTTAAAGTCCCCCCGTCATCCTTGTGACAGTCATCATGGTCACTTATATTATTTACACTGATCTGTTCGAATCGTTTCCTCTTTTGTTGTTTCAGACACATCACGGACCCCCTCGACTAACATTCTCTGTTTAGTTCCAAGCATATCAGAAAAAACCTCACTCCAGACCATATCTAGCTATTTCATATTCCAAACAACTACCTTCATGCACAAATGTGTCCTTATGCATGGGTGCATACACGCAAAACTCTTACAAACAAATGCAAATATAAATATATCGATATATGATTACTGTTCGACACAATATACCAATTCTTTTCTGACTCTTCCTTCTATTGCCTCTTCCACCTTAACCTCCCCTTGTTCTTTTCAGTGAATTCCGTCACCAGTTGTCATCCACAATCGAATTATAGAAGACAAGTAGGATATCAATTTCTCAATGTGCTATTTTCGGCCCATCAAATAAGCTAAGCAGATGGTTCGGGTATCTTTTTGTGAATGTTCTATCAGATTTGGCATTGTCATATCTGTCTACATTGATCGGGCATAGTCGGCGCTGATTATTTATTTAAACGAAGTGAAATGTGTGAAATCGGACTTACCGAAGCGTGTACTGCTCCACTCGCTGGCATAAAACGCTAATAACCGCAGTGATTGCAGCGCGAAATGGAGCAGGTTTGGGAAAGTGCGTGAACAGAAAGTTAACGAAATTTATTTCCCTGATCTGCGGAAAGTAGAGAAAACCGGTGTTTTGACAAAGCATTGAACGGCGGTTCCAGTAGCTCTCGAGTGGACTAAATTCCAACTTCCCCTGGTCGCCGAGCTTGGCACTTTGTGTGCGAACATTTCATCACCAGCCGAGATGACATTATCACTGCTTGTTAGTTGTAATGATAATTCAAAAGTGACAGTGAAAAAGACGCTAATAAAACTCACGTATTTCTGCAGGTGGCTTAAATCTAGGTCAGTTTGACACGGAATCAAACGTTAAACTGAACGGGAAAGGCTGATGCCCACGTCATAATTATACCACTTATTAAAGGATAGAAATGAGCGTATGTTCAGACTTACAACAAATTGACCCGTTGTAAGTAGATGAACAAGTTCTTTGAGTACGATAATAGAGAATTCCCACAAATTCAGTCGTTACAAGTTGCTAAATATAGTACTGAAAGGAGCCAACCATCAATCTGCATGCACTATCCTCGGTTCTTTCAATCAATCGTACAGTCAGAAATCTCTGGACACCCGTTTTGTTCTCATAATAACCCATCCGTATTGCCCATTGATCAGCCTCAGGTAGGTTTTCTGTAGATTTTGTGATGAGTGGAAAAGCACTGCCTCAAAAACAAAACCAACTAAATTTGATAGAGTCATCGACCTACGCATTGAACTATATTGCGGGGAAATTCTGTCTAGGAAAGTTACGCAGCTTAATACGTGATACAACATAATATTATTGGAAGTTACTTTAAGTAAGCACTTATGTAGTGTCTTCAGAACGACAGTGTAACATGGTCTGCCTGTTCTGCATGCATGCGCCTCGCATGGTTGCAGACACTGGTTTCATGGAGCATTCTTTCGTGCATTCTTCTTTTCTGGTATGGATTCCGCCAGGATCGTCAATATGCTGATGTTGCTTCGCAAACTAGGTCTTCACTCTTTTTTTTTGTCAAGGTGAAGTTTCCGCACTTTTGACATGCACAATTTCAGTGTTACACTTTCACTTGCTACACGTTTCGCTTTCTGATACTCGCAAGCGTAGTCAGTCCAAACTTCCGGTACTTTTAAGGGAACATTATATTTTTCCTTAACTGAATGATTGTTGTTCGTGACAACTGTCGGGTTATGGAGAATCACGGAATATTCGAAACCGGACCATTTCCACTGGTCGAAAGGTAGCATCTCATCCCTCAACTGGCGAGTTCAATCCATTTTTCCTGGTTACAGATCGATCTTTGTAAAACTAATTTTTCAGTAGCCACACGCGTTGTTTTTCTCGAGGTAACGTTTGCACTAAAGTAAGTGCAACTCATTTTTGAATATACTCCTTGTTTCTAGTTGGTTTGGTTATCTATAACAAATTATCNTATTTTTGACTGTCTTTCGTTTCCGGCAGATACATCATCACCGACTCAGGAAAAACCACCTCCATTAGGCAACATCTGATAGTTGCTAGCACTGTCAATTTCACCTGTCCGCTCAATTATCACAAAAACCCCACTATGTGGTTTTCGGTGGTCGAATCACATTTTCAACCCGAGCTATCACCCGATCCATTTCTAAATTCCATCATATGGTACAGCCTTTACCTTTAGATATTGCCGAATTTTTGTGGCATTAAACAAACCATTCCTGAGGATCGTCCTTATAAGACTCTTCGGAAAGCCCTCTTGAGTCTTTCCGGTTTTCGGACTGAGGAGAAAACCAGAAATATGATCTAGAATATGAATCTGGGCTAGCTCAAACCTTTGCAACTCTTGTGTAACATATAGCAAAAAACTCGCCTCGTTCAAGATGGACGAGAACTCACCTCACAAGCTGTGGGCCCAAAGGCCGTGTGTATGTTCCTGGTGCCATACGCTAACTATCCCTTCAGCGTTGCAGCTGAAGCATTTGAAAACTTCCAGACCTTCGACTTGCAAGGAAACTCTTTTAGCTACTCTTTAGTAGCTGAGGCGCCCACCCCTTCCAAACTGTTATCTGGCGCGATCGCCGCTTAAAACGCTGGCGTCTCTGCTCGACTATTTGAGGTTGAACGGGCTACTTCACGGGTGCCGTTTTTGCTCTCAAAGTAGCTCTAAGCGCTCACCATTAGCCACATCCCGTAGACCTCTATAGTAGTACCACCACACGTCGTGTGTCTAAGCACGTAATTTTTATCATTCCGTGCTAATGGTGCTAATCCAAATCCCTCTCCCCCCAACATTTACCTGTTCTGCTCACTGCCAATCGGACTCCCAACAAGATTTACGGCAGCAGACTGCTAACGGTGAACTTCCACCGGCCCAAAGTAAACACTTAGAAATTCATCGTCACTGAAATATCCACATTCTTAGATTGGTCTTCTTGCAGTATTGCGGTCTGTCCATCTATTGACCGATCTAGAACGTAATTTTACGGTCTATGTTGAAATGACTGCATTTAGCTCCATCATACTCATTTTCCGTCAGGCCTCGCCAGGTGTTAGGTAAAAAAACTACTTGTTTATACCTAAAACCGACTATTTTTCGAGCATCTGCAATTCGGAGCATCTCTAATCAATACTAATCTCGCGGAAAATAATCAATCATATCGCGTCATACGGAGACATTCACTCCGTCCGCCCGATCCGTGACTTATGGTCGATTGAAATTGGCTAACTGTGTACTTGATTGGCATAATCGTTTTATTGCATTAATCGATGCTATTTTGGGTCACATATAAGCATCAGAATAAAACTTGTAAATTGACTTGCTTCCTGTGTGTCAAATACACGTTCGCTGTGCACTAACTGTGTTCTTGTTTACGTAGCTGTGAGAAGGCTACTAGTGCTCGTGGCGTCCAATCTGTGCTGGGATCGTACGCATGAGGCTAAACGATTAGTGTGCCGTTGGGGTACGTGTGTTCCTCGTGTCATTGTGTGATATCTTGTTGTGTGTACATTGTGATCAAACGAGATCCGGACACAACACCAGGTCACTATAATGTGCTGATTTTTGCCTAGCCAACGATCACTCGTTTGTCAGACGTTCTTCCGTCTACGCTTACGCCATTTGCTTAATCTAGTCCTACTTCTGGAACCTAGTATTTGCCCACGCTCGTCGTTTTGCAATGCATAAACAGCGCATTGTGAAAGCAGAATCTGACCGGCTACTCATAATTGAAACCACTCAGTCATCCAAAAGCAGCTGGACTATACCCTTTACCGTGATTCTTTAAAGGGACTCGACTGATTGCTGTCCCTGCGGTGAGTGCCGTGCTCTGAACAAGATTACTGTCTCCGAGCACTATCCTATCTCGCATATCCATGACTTTACAGCTCTCCTCCGTAGCAAGATCATTTTTCCTAAGTGTGATCTGGTGCGTGCTTACTACCAGATATCCTGTAACCCATCCGACATCTCAAAGATCGCGATTTCTGAGTTTCTTTGCATGCCCTTTGGTTTTTGAAATGCCTCTCAATCGTTTCAACGTTTAATTGAGAATGTTTTCTTGAGGTCTAGAACTTCTGTTCACTTACCTCGATGACATCTTCATTGTCAGCAAGAACGAGCTGACACATCTTACCGAATTGCGTTTTGTCTTCGATAGGATTGGTCTCCATGGCATCACCATCGACTCGGACATTTGAGAATTCGGTCGCATATCGCTGAGTTTTGTGGGTCACACTCCAGACCAAAGTGGCACCCGTCCCTTCGAATCTAAGGTTGAGGATATGGGTTATTTAACCGTTCCCACTATAGCTCAGGATTTGCGAAGTTTACTTAAATTAATAAACTTTTACCATCGCCCACACATTGTGTTCAGAACTGCAGAGCTGTTGTACCATTATCTCTATTCCGTTTTAGATGTCTAATTGGAACATCTTGAGCTATTCCATATCTGTAGTATTGCCTCAGCTATAACGAGGCGAACTTTGTGACAAATTTAAAATGTCACTCAACGGTCTGTTTGGTCAGGTTTAAGGACAGTACTTCTTTTGCTTTGTGTATTGTTTCACTTCTTGTGGTGTATGCGAATATATCGATTCTCTTTTTATACTTCAAATTGCTACAATGTTAAATTGATCTTTGGTGTATGAAATCTTTAATAAACACGGAAATGTCCATATCCATGGTTTGCAAATGAACGTGGTAAATGCAATTAGTATGCTGCATGTTCAGTAAAACATAGTGCTTTGAACAAATG